ACACACACACACACACACACACACACACACACACACACACACACACACAAACAGAGTGTCCATGTGAATCTTGCTGTCTGCTTGGTCGTTGTTCTTCTCTTCTAGGAATGCCAAGTTTTAGCTTTTGCTCTGCTGGGGCGTGGCCCTGCTGAAATACAGACTGATTGATTTGGTCTGGAGTAGGGACCAGTAGGGACCTGGTTTTCTACAAAGTTCCCAGGTGATGTCCAGAAACTTAATGCTCTAATGAGTTTTTATGGATTAGAGTGATGAAATGTTACATTATGTACCTTGGGAATCCCACCATTTTCTGTTGCTACACTGCAGAAGAAGAAAATACAATACTTAGGATGGAGCTTCACCTTGTGTTTGAACACTTGGTCTCTAGCTAGTGACACTGGGACAGTTGTCAAATGTCAAGGAGGTAGAGCTGTGTTGGGAAAAGTGGATCACTGGAGGGCAAACCTTGTGGTTTCATAGCTTAGCCCTACTTCCTGTTTGCTGTCTACTTCTTGACTGCTGATTCAATGTGATCAGTTTGCCTCTGACTCTTGAGTGCACTCATTGTACTTTATGATGTTGTTGTCACTGTTTTTCTGATGCTAGGGATGAAACCCATGGCCTCACAAATATTTCTCAAGCATTCTACTACTCAGCCACATCCTAGACTGAAAGACCATAATTTTGTTTGCTTAGAATGAAACAAAATGGTATTAGAATTTAAGGAATTGTTTTCTTAGGTTTTCTAGAATAATCTTTGACTTTCTCCAGATGTGTATATACCACAGCTTTCTTTTCCTCATGTTCCTCTTTTGATATCTTCCCATCCCTTTACTGTCTTCAGCAGCTTCCAACAGATGTCTGATACACCAACTCAACTCATCAGGACACACAGGCTTGGCATCTTGTTCAACATCTGGATGATACCCATTTTCTGAGTAAGTATCTCATTTTCCTTTTGGTTTAAATGGTCTTTGGATGAAAATGAAAATTACAATGGGAAATTGTGGATGGCAAGGGAAAAGAGCTATTTTGGGTAAAATGTCTTATAATTGGAGTAATTTTGACAAACAGGCTCTGTGGAATTCCCCCATACTACCCTCTGCTCCCTTAAGTTGGGGAAGTGTGCTGTTTACTTGGGGCCTAAGCTGGGCTCTCCTCTCTGCCCAACAGAAATGATGTTGAACTTTAGTGAAGTCATACCTACTGCTCCGAGGAACATGGTTTACTTTGCCCTGGTGAGTCTAGATCCTTTACAGCTCAATCCAGGGCAGAGTGGAGCTGGGACTAGGAAACTGGTCATGCAACTCTGTCATTATTTTGGTTCTGGTTTCTACATTTATGTGACATTGGCTTTTAGCTAGAGTTTTCCTGCCTGGCCCACAGTCAGGACAAATCTTTGTCACCCGCCAGTCCCACAGCCGCTCAGACCCAACCAAGTAAACACAGAGACTTATATTGCTTACAAACTGTATGGCCGTGGCAGGTTTTTTGCTAACTGTTCTTATATCTTAAATTAATCCATTTCTATAAATCTATACCTTGCCACGTGGCTCGTGACTAACCGGCATCTTCACATGCTGCTTGTCATGGCGGCAGCTGGCAGTGTCTCCCTCACTCAGCCTTCCACTTCCCAGAATTCTCCTCTCCTTGTCCTGCCTACTTCCTGCCTGGCCACTGGCCAATCAGTGTTTTATTTATACAGAAGGATATCTACAGCATTGGCTCTATATTTTTCTTTTCTCAAACAAAGGGGTCAATAACTTAGGTTTAAAATTGATAGAGTTTTAGCACTTTCTTGCTTTATATTTGGGGCAGATACAACGACAGTTTTCCTTTTATTATATTGGGTTGTGCTCAGATATCTAACATGATTGACAGCTGGTGCCTTACAGCAGGAGGGGTATGTGTATGTTTATATGTGTGCTAGTGTGTGTGGGCTTATGTGAAGATGTGTACACACAACACCTCCATATTTCCCTATTGGACTCAGATGGCTGGAGCAGCTCACCCACAATCTTAGGTATTAAAGATACTCGTGCAGAGGCTTACCTTTTGGAGCAAGACATCATGGGTAGATTTTTTTTTTGATCCAGGTGGCATTGAGCTGGAGCTTTGGCACCAAGGTAAACCTCAGTTTTGCTACTGCTGTGGCACCAGACTAAAATGGGGTAAGAGAAGCTTATGGAAAATTTAAGGGGGCATTCACATTCCTAGGTGATAACTGTACACTTGCACAATCCTGAGAGTGAATGCCTCCTTAAATTTCCTACACAGGTGTCTCACTTCCTGACTCCAGTCTGGCTGTACATATCCCTGGACATGTGACTTACTTCTCTGAGTTCTTGTTCTCATCTGTAAGAACTGGTTAGGGTACTAAAAACCAACTCATGGGCCTGACATGGAGCTTAAATAAATGGGTGTTTATAAAGTTTTTGACAGTGCTGGGGGCCATGAACCATTATTAATTTTAATTAATCTATTGGTGTGCATCTTGGCTAATCTCAGTTCTTCAGAGGGGGGAAAAAGGAATTGAGGAATACTTAAAAGTGACTTCATTTCTGAGATTTTATTTTCCTTTAGAGTTATTTATTCTTTGGGAAATTATTTTAAATCTAGTACAAATCACAAGTTCTCAGAGCTAAGATGTTGCACCAGGCAAAGCCAGGAATGAATCTGAAGGTGGAGATGTGGGAGTATCGAGTTACAGGGAGGGCAGAGCCAGGTTCTCATGAGAGTGAGTACTTCATTTTCAAACCAGGAGACCAAATGTCTCACTCAGAGAGCAAGCAGCAGGATTTGGGTTGAATGTGTCAAGTGTCTGCTCAGCAGGCAGTTCAGGGTGGCTCCCTAACCAGCTCTGCCCCTGCCTCCCCCCCCCCAGCCTGCCACTGTGGTTACCCACTTAGCACAACTCACAATGGCTTACACAGTTTGCTTGGTCAGCCAAGTATTTTCCCCACATTTGAAGATTTTGGACAGGAGGCTGACCATGGTGCTCAGTGCCCGGATGAAGAGGAAATCTGTTAGAACACTGGTGTGTAAGGTGAGAGGCTCTCAGGGCCTGCTATCCCAATTGCTATTCTTGCCATGTTATTCTGATGAAAACAAAACAAAACAAAAAACCCTCAAAAAACTTACACCCTTTTAAACCCTCAAACTTTTGCCATTAACTATGTACTGCAGAGCCCTCTTGACACCCTCTCCCACCACACACCTCTTTCATTTCCTATGTGGTGACTAAGAGACAGTGACAGTGATTGAGTTATTTTCTTGACCTCTAGTTTCATTGGAATGTCCTTTGGTTGTTAACAAAGGAGTTTCCCATCTAAATTTCTCAATGTATAAAATAAGGATGTACAATTCTCAATGTATAAAATGTAGGATGAGCCACTTCTGAGACTACTGTGAATATGTGTGTATGCCTGTGTATGTGTGTATGAGTGTGTGCTGTGTGCATGTGTCTGTGGGAGTATGTGTGGGCACATGTATAAGGGCTATCTCAGGCTTGGAGATGATGGTAAGTCTATGTTAACACTTTATTTACTGCTTTGAATTCCATTTGAGGGTAGTCATAAATTCAGAGAGAACCAGGACAATTTCCTGTTCTCATAACCTATTTCCATGATAGGCATTGGCAATCAGTTACTGCCTTTTTTTGTCAGTTCTGCGTCTTACTTCTTAGAGCCCCAGAGAGCATGTACTAATGTAATCTTTTGACTATTCTGAGCCAGTGGGCATCAAGTAGAGGGCACAGACTTCCTTGGTCTGGAAACATTGAGAAGGTAGTTTGCTACTTGAGTCCCAGCTGAGTGATTTGTGTAGAATGCAAAGGATTGCACAACAATGAATCAAGTGTGGTACATAGAAGGAGACTTCTATGGCTATCTGGAGAAGGGCCCCCTGACATAGAAAATGCACTTGGGAGGCTACCTTAACACGAATCTATCAGTGGGTTGAAGGAGTAGGAGAGGTGACCTTCAGGTAGGGGGAGCTATAGATGAAAGAGTAGAGGGGGTCAATGGTATTTATTTACTACTCATGTAACAGTTACTTAATTTACAAATATGAATTTTAATAACCAATTTTTGAATAAATAAAAATAATTATATTTATCTATTTTAAATGTCTATAAATTTGTGGCCTCTATATACTTTTTACTGTTAAAAAAGCTTCTGTCTGTTTCACAGATAGAGTTTTATAGCTGGTATCTAGTGCAGAATTATAAAGTATAGAAGATTCTTAGGATTTTAAGTTAGAAATGAGATAAAGCTGGAAAGATATACAAAGTGATTGTCCTGGACAATTTCTATGCATCATAGAAATGATTAATTCATTTACCAAGTATCTGACTGCCTAATATATGCCTGGTGCCAGCTGTGATACACAAAGGGTCTGGGTAGAAGCCCATTTATGAGATCATATGCCTGGTAAAGCAAGTAGATTCATGGGCACACAGCTGTTACATTTACCTGTTGCTGGGATATCAGAGATATGAGGGGTCTCATGGAAACAGTCTCCTCTTATGATTCAGGCAGGTCCATGGAGTAAATATTTCTACCCAATCTTCTAGATGAAGAAACCTAAGCAGAGAGAGTTAAGGACAAAGGCCATGTGCTGACCTTTCACAACTAGAAACTAACTATCAGTTGGATGCCCTTTCCCAGGCTGGATGTATTTACCATACAAGAAGAACTGGAGTTTGGGCCTAGTGTTGCTAAAAGTAAGGTGAACAGCTCAAGTCTGTCACTTCTCCATTATAGGTTCCTGCTTCCCCATGTTGGAAGTCCAAAATGTCTTCTTTTTTAAGATGGGATGAATTGCTTGTAGTGTTTAGGTTTGACCTTAGCTGAACACTGCTAACTGGAAAGACCTCTTGGGGTTGCCACTCACTGCAATTATTTCTCTTTGCTCAAACACCTGATAGGGACATGTCATAGTGAAAAATTTCAATGAGGAACTTTACTAGTTGGGGCTTCCTTTGTGTAAAGTCTTGTACAAAGGCTAGAACACAAGCGTTGCTTATGTTACTTGAAGAATCTGGTTAGCCTGCTTATAAATCCATGTAGTTGATTAAGTATATCAGATCAGGCCCATCCATGTTTCCACCTTTGCTTTATCTGTGCAGGAATCATGTTGAAAAGGCTGCTTGTGGGTCCAGGAAAAGTTTCGGTGGCTTCATAACTCAATGTTTATATATCTTGTCTTTCTGCAGAGGAATCTGCTGTCATTTAGGGCTTTTGTTTCAGAATTTAGCATCTCTGAGCCATGAAAAATGGAACTTTTGTTCAGAGAGCAGATGATACCAGGGCAGTTCCAGGCCCAATGAATCAGACGTCTCTCAGGATTCAGGCTGAAATTAGGAATGTAGATTAGATGTAATAATAAACATCATGTGACAAATAAACATGACACACTTAATCCAGTGCCTTGACTTATAGAAAGTTTAAATCAGATTCCTGAAGCAGCAGGGAAAATATGTCTACTTTTCTATCCCAAAGATAATCTTGTGCAAGGTTTTGCATGAAGGAAGTCCCAACTTATAACTTGAAACATAAACTAGGAAGTACTCTGCCCATACCAGGAAATACAGATGACTGCCCTTCTGGCTATTTGGAGAAACATCCCATAATCATATTTTAGTCCCTCTAATACATGTCTTTACAAATAGAACTAGGAATGGTCAAGTGAAAACCGATTTGTGGTTGTGATGGAGTCAACACAATGAGACATAAAATTCAGGCTGGGCAGGCTAACACATGTCCCAATTTTTGAAGACTCCTTAAAAATAAGAACCAGCTTCCCCAGCAATCTCAGAGGTCCCTTCTCTCCTCTTGTTTTATTTTTCTTCTTTTCTCTCACAGAAGAAAAGATGCCAAAGACAATTGAGCCAATTTAACATTTGCTGCACTTATTCCTCTTCTCTGATTCAAGCATA